CATGTCCAGCACTGCACAGAGCTGTATAGCATCCCTGAAGCATTACCTCTCTCCTTTCAAGGGTGTTGGGGTGCTTTTCTCATTGCCACAAATGCCATTTTGGTAGAAATTTTATGGCACAGTTTATCAGGTACAAATTGTGTAAAATTCAAGGTGGGAAATAGTTGGCTGTAGAAAACACAGTTGTCCTCAACTTCAGTTTGTACTGTGCTAAAAACACAACAAATCATTCCTAGTCCAACCATTCATCCAAGGAAATTTTCTTCGTGTCCAGTCAGCTTTGTGTTAAATGCTAAAACTGCACATGCTCTGTTAGTTTCTTCATTTATGCTCATCTTTTTCAGGCAAAATACAAATATTTACTGAACAAAAATACTGAGTATCTTAGGCATGTAACAGAAACAGTCTTCCTATGTCCTTGAATTTATATCCTCACTGTCACAGGTAACCACAGTACATAACCTGTATTTGTCTTCTCAAATATGTCAAACTCTATTGAAAACAGAATTGATTTTTGCCTGCTGGAATAACCATTTTGGTCTTTTACGAGATAAAAGAGGTGATTCAAGACAGCCAGCATAGCTTCACTAAGGGCAGATTGTGCCTGACCGATCTGGTTGCCTTCTGTGATGGAGTGATAGCTTCAGTGGGCGGCAGAAGAGCAGCGGGTGTCATCTACCTGGACTTCTGCAAGGCCTTTGACATGGTCCCTCACCACATCAATTGGAGAGGTGTGGATTTGAAGGATGAAATGTTCGATGGATCAGGAATTGGCTGGCTGGATGCAGCCAAAGTGTTGTGATCAATGGTTCTCTGTCACAAGAGGGAGGGGGTGGTCACAAGCGTGTCCCTCAGGGGTCGCTCCTGGGACCGGTGCTCTTCAGCATCTCCATCAGTGACACAGACAATGGCATTGAGTGCACCCTCAGCAAGTTTGTAGATGACACCAAGCTGAGCAGTGTGGTTGATACACTGGAAGGAAGGGAAGCCTTGCTTTGTCTTCTTTGCACCTTCGTTTCAGGTGCTTACAGACAGTGATGAGATCCCTCTGAGCTTCTCTTCACTGAATAGGCACTCCCGTCCTTTGTTCATCTTCATCTTCCTTGCCTTTCATTGAACTCTCTCTAGTATATCCATGTCTGTCTCGTACTGGGAGATCTGTATTGGACACAGGACTTCAGATGTGGCTTCACTAGGGCTGAATATAGAGTAAGAGTATAACTTCTCTCAGTGCTGATAGTACTTTGCCTAATATAGCCCAGGATGCCATTCACCTTCTTCTGCTGCAAGGGCACACTGCTGGTTTGTGTTCAAATTGGTGTCCACCAGGGTGCTGAGTTACATGAACAGCTGCTTTCCAGTAGCACAGCCTCCAGCAAGTTCTGGTGGCATCCTCAGATGCAGGACGTTGCACTTCCCTATGTTGAACTGCATAATGTTCCTAATCAGTCCATTTCACCAGCATGCTGAGATTCCTCTGGATGGCTGCACAAACTTCAAGTATATCAGCCATTCCTCCTAGTTTTAAATCATCAGCAAATCATCTGACAGTGCACCCTGGCCCATCATCCCAGGGCAGAATGCTGGATTAGATACTGGGTAAGTTTGAAACCAGTATTGACTCCAGGGGTACCCCAAGAATCTAGATTCTGTGTTTATTTACCAGTCAACCTTGGCTAGTTACTGGTACACTGTCACTGTATTTCCTACCTTCCAACTTTCATCTTCCTTCCCTACACTGGCAGTATAAGATCCAAGATCATGTAATACTGCATGGTCTTTTTTGTTTGCCTTCTTAACCCACAAATACAGAATGTGTCTGATCTGTACGGTGAATTCGCATGTTGGAGAAAATAAGGTTCTTCTGCACAGTAAGAACAATGAGAAGGGCATTGTGTTTGCCAAAGATGCACTTCTACGTTATGAACGGATTGCTGGCTACGACCTTTGAAAATGGAATTGATGAAAGAAACATCTTCAGATTTAATTACACATAATTGCACAAGGCACAGAAATTGTAAATCTAAGTGTAGCCACAAGCCCACAAACCTCAATTTACTGAGGTGGTATATGTGCCAGAAGAGCATAAAAAAATTCACCTTGTTCAGTTTTATGGAATTTCCATCTTATATTGACCAAATACACTAAAAATATAAGAATATTCTTATTACACTAAGACACTTATATACACTAATACACTTATATACACTAAGAATATATATATATTTTTTTTTCTTTTTTAATTCCTCAGTTAAGCAGCTTCAGTTGTTCTTTCAAAGTTTGATCCACATTCACGTTTTTTAAAAGAATCACCTTGAGTTTTAGTGTATTTAGTAAGACAGAAAATAAAATGGTCAGAATGGAAGCTCACTTCCTGAGCTACAGAGTGACTGGCCTTTGTAGAAATCTCAGGTATCTGTGCTGCTTGCTCATTGTGTACGTATTTCTGAAAAATACAGCTGATCACTGAACAGCTGATCAGCTTGCATGTTAAATGATTTATAATCTTTCCTTTCAAAAGTTTGTCTGAATAGTGCCATTTTTGTGTCAAATCAGGATGTGTTTGAGTCCAAAATGCCACATTATCCAAGGCTGTATGTATAGATATAGAGAGACTGAAAACTGTACTTTTAGAGAAAAAAAAAAGACCTGAACAGTTGCTATTTTCCACATAAATAAATAATAAACTGAACTTCTGAATAAATCTGATGATACTGGGTCTGGGTGGGATAAAGGTAGGGTGCAGAGAGAAGAAGGGCTGCAAAGGTGGTCCTTTGGAAACAAGCTAGGTATGGTTCTACTAGTGGGAGATAGTGAGACCTTTTTTTGTTTTGTTTTGCTTGTTAATTTACTTTTTTCTAACCTCTCTATCTGAAGTATTACATTTTCTTTATCTTAGCACATGAGTATTCTCACTTTTTGCTCTTCCTGCTCTCTGGATAGAGTTGGAGTGAGAGGGTGCACAGGTGAGCTGTTCAACTGCTGAGCTGCTGGCCAGAGTAAACCCACCACAGATGCTCGTCCTCTCCTAGTAAAATGCCAGAACAAATCATTTTATCTAGACACTGCCCTGGTTGAAGAATACTATTACACTGTAGACTGAAATTTTCATTCAAATAGAAGCTGAGAATTAAGAATCAGAACTACCAACAGACCTTGCGTGTAAGATGCTGCCATGCAGCCTGTGATTATCTGGATTGATCTTTGCATTGATGTCCTTCATGGTTTGTTTTTTTTTAATCTAGCCAATAATTTCCTCTCCTTTGGTTTTTAAGACTTGTATGTTCATGTTGCCCAGGGATGGATCAGTTCTGTGCTGCCCTTGCACTTCTCTAACTTTCAGCAAGTCAGTAGGTACCTGCGCTGAAAACAAAACTTTGATGAGAAGATTGTTCTGGGATGCTCCTCCTTCCCCAAAAACAAGAAGATTCATTATAAGAATATAATATGAATTTATATGTCTAGTGCACTTACTTTTACATTAGAGCAAATCATTCTCTTCACTAAGCATGAATTTCATTATAAAATAAGTCTTCAGACTGACACAGTCAATATAACATGCATATAGCTGGACTGTACAAGCATGAAGACTTCTACATGAAATATCTCTGCACTTCACTTTCTCTTAAAAAAAAATAATTTCCCTTATTAAAAAAAAAAAAAAAAAAAAAAAAAAAAAAGTACTTCCTACCAGAAGATCAAAAGCTTGCAAACCAAGAAGTATTCTTGCAGCAGTTTCCAATGTCCAGGGTGGTTTTACACTCAGGGAACCCATAAAAATATCAACAATGCTGTCTGTTGCCTCAGAATAAGAGGAATGTGTTACAAAGGCATTCTCATTTTACAGTACTGTAGAAAGATAGTGAAAGACAGTGTTCTGGAAGTAAGACAAGCCTGACAGTGAAGAGATCTGAGGTGTTTCTTCAAAGCAAAATGTAAGGGACAAATACACACATCTCCTTGAAAACAAACATGGATATAACATACTGCAGAAGTACTGAAGAGATTTTACTCTACTGCTTACTTAGCCTGAGTTTATTGTCAGAATCCCTGAAATTATAAGGTGTGATAGCACTAAAATGAAGCATCTTTATTTCTTTAATGGCAAGCTTTGACCAGAGATTTTTCAGGAAAATAAAATGGCATTGTAGCTTTGTATGTTTTAGAAAAACAAATCAAATGGAAGTCTCGGGTGTCTATATTTTTCCTCCTTTGTGAATGCTGTCAATAATAACCCATCCTGTGGTAACTCTTTCATCTAGTGTTTTGCCACTGTAAAATAATTTTTAAAATACATTTAGTATAAACTAAATCTCAGTAGGAAATTTATATTTCTTCAGTCAAAATCATCTATGTACATTCCCTGTACAACCACCAGTATCAATTATACTGATATATCATGATGGAATTCATCATGACCTGATGGAATGCCTAGTAGAACTTACTGGACATTTGTAGAATATCTAAACATTCTTTGAATTTTTTACTATAAAAACAATGCTATAGTGTTTGCTAAGAGTCTATTCCTTTTTCAGTTGGAAAATTTCACATCACTTATTTACCACCATTTCATATATTTATTAGTTTGTTGTAGAAATTAACTGCCTCCCAGAGAAAGAAGAAAAAAGAAAAAACTCTGAAAATTAAAAAAAAAAGAGGAATTTATTTCAAGATCTGCTGATGTTTTAAAAGATTATGAGCATATTTCTCTGATACTATTGAAAATATAAGTGGAAATAAAAATTCTTCTTTCAGTATATATTTCACTCTGAGTTAATTTTAACTGATTTAATTTCTGTCACATGCTGTAGAACGTTTTCAGAATGGCTTCTTGGAAAGCCGTTTCTCTAATTCCTCCTCATTAGAAGGAGCTAAACGTGCTTATAAATTCTGAATGGTGTCTGAGCAGTATGTATTTCTACTTAAATATTTTCAGTTTAAGAAGTGTGGATGCGTATGTTTACAGCATAGTATGGGTTTGATTTCGCTCAATGTTTCAGCTGCTACAGAGGTTTCATTTTCATTTGATGTTGGAAACGGACCTGTGGAAATAATCGTCCGGTCTCCCAGCCAGCTGAATGATGACCAGTGGCATCGGGTCAGGGCAGAGAGGAACGTCAAACAGGCCAGCCTGCAGGTAGATCAGTTGCCTCCAGAAGTCCGGAAAGCGCCGACAGAAGGACACACACGACTGGAATTGTACAGCCAGCTCTATGTAGGTAAGGCGCAGAGGAGATAACCAGGCTTCAGGTACTGGATGAACACTCTGCCCCAGTTAAGCATCAGTTAATTTAACACAGGAAGATGCCTTCCCAAATATTAAAAAAAAATAATAATAAAGAAGGAGAAATAGCAAGCACCTGTGAAACTGCGGAGATAAGAGGATTAGCTAAGAGAAAATATTCGGTACCGGCAATGTGTAATTTTTCGGCAGTAGTGCCAAGCTCCTGTTTTTGGCCAGTTTCTCTCTCACATGTACTTATTTACAATTGAATTTAAAATTTCTGCATAGATCATGCCAGGACTGTGTGAGCCTGCTGTGTCCATCCTAGTCACACAGGTTTGGTCACTGTCCATGCTTTTGCTCTTACTGCAATAGTTTCTCTTTAGTCATATGGGCAGTTTTCCCATTTGCCATAGAATAGAATCACATGGTGTCACAAAAATTCATTCACCAGAACCAAATGAATACAGCTGCTTTCTGGAGATGCTAGTTTCCAGTGCATTTTTTGCGTGTTATTCCAGCAGTACTTGTATTTCTCTGACTGTTAGACCTAGGAATCCAAAAGCCAGACATGGCAAGTGCCACTAGTTGGAATTAAAAGTACATGAAAAAGTGAGCAAAGAAGCAGCACCTTCCTACCTCTTTATATATCTATTAAGTGAGGAAAGGAAGGAAGAAGAAAAAACAGACATTACCTCACTTTTTTCCATGTTAGTCCAGATACAAAAGCATAAATTAATCAAAATACTGTTTAAAGCCTTTCCCTCCTTGGTAAGCAGCACATGTTGCTGTAAACCACTTTAAAAGTGTCATCACCAGAGATACAGCCATTGTTTACACAATGAGTTTCTCCTTTACTGCTGGCTGTGATCCCAATAAAAGCCTGTTTCCAAGTAAATTGAAATATTAATTCTTTTTAGAAGACAAAGCCTTAGACTTTCAAAAGAAATACCAAGACTTTTTATGAAAAGAGAGCTGGAAATATTCAAGCCTGAGTTCTCGGGGAATTGCTAATAACTGTTGATTTTTATAAATTGTTTTGAATTAACACTTGTACCATCCATCTTTTGAAATGCTTGGTACTTGTACTGCCAAACGCTGAATGTCCAAACCTGCAGCTGACTTTCTTTCTTTCTGAATCAGATACATTTCCTATAATTTGCAAAGAATAGTGTCTCTGATTCAAATTCTAGCTGAGTCTGACAGAGAATTGATGTGAGTTCAAGTGTCCTCAGTGAACATTCTGAGTATCACAGCCTGCAGAGTGACACAGAATAAGAATAATTTCAGTACTCCATTTTCTGTGATAAATATTCCTTGGGACAATAAGGGAACATGAAGCATTACTTAAAATCCTAGGGGCTAGAATATCCACCAGGACAGGAAAGATGTGAGAATTATAAGCATTAGAATTCTTTCATCACCATGGTGTATATTATTTTGCATCAAGTGGAACCACACCTGAATGGCCTCTGCTCTGTGCACTTCAGAAGAGACCAGAATAGACTGTCTCCTCTTAATCCAAATTACCCAGTGACCAGACACAGATTTGAAGCAGCCTCTTTGATTTCTGTGGCTGATTTGAAGCAGCAGATGGTCTGTATTTAGTCCTCTGCCCTACCCAGGTATTCTGTGCCCTGCAGAGATGAGTGTTCAGATCTCTTCAGGCGTATGTGGGGCTCTTCATCCCACTGTGGGACTGCAGTAATCCAAGGGACGAGAGCGCTGTGTGGCAACTTCTCACTGCTTTTTGCTTGCAATGTCAGGTTTTTTTTTTGTTGTTGTTGTTGTTGTTGTTGTTGTTTGTTTGTTTTTAATCCAGCTCTGAGTAAGACTTTCTGAGATAAAATCATGTTTTACAGCAAGTATTTACCGGGAAACAAAAATAGTTCTTAGTGACTGCTAAGAAAAACATTCCAATCTAGATTTTCAAATACAGCTCTTCAGTGCTGTGTCCTTCTCCCTGTGTTTAGGCAATTTAGCATCATATCTGATGTTGCTTGGATATGAGCATCTGTATTTCCTATTCCTTCTTTCTCCATTTCCCATATTAAACGTTTCAAATATGTAACATATTATGATATTGCAGTTAGCATCCATCTGCAATAATTACATACCGAACACAGTTATATCTTAGCAATGTAGCCAAGCCCAATTCTTCCATGGTCATCTCTTAAAGCTTGATAAGTGTAAAGCAAAGGCACTTACTCTTTAGGTATATTTTTGGCACAGTCTGAAAACTGAGGTTTCACTTTCCACTGATTTCAATTTCACTAGGATGTTGTAGCGCCTCACTTGTTTAAATAAGTTACTTAAATTACTTACCTGTTGTCAGAAGCCTAGCAGGATATTTCCTATAAAACTCTTCACTGTTGTCTATTTAACATTTCTGCGCAGGTGCCGCAGGCGGCCAGCAGGGCTTCCTAGGTTGCATTCGCTCATTAAGGATGAATGGGGTAACACTGGACTTGGAAGAGAGAGCAAAAGTCACTCTAGGGGTGAAGCCTGGCTGCTCTGGCCACTGCACAAGCTATGGAATGTACTGCGCCAACGGAGGAAAGTGTGTTGAGAAATACAATGGCTACTCCTGTGACTGCTCCAAAACAGCGTATGATGGACCATTTTGCATTAAAGGTAAGTGAAATACGCAGAAGGCAGAGTGTGGGTGAATAATTAAATCAATTTTTGAGATTTTATTAATTTAAAAACTAAATCCTTTTCAATACTTCTTACTAGAAAGCCAAATTATGCATCCATGATTTAAATTTGATATTTTGTAAAAACGGCAATGCTGCTACTCATAGCAGGTCATAGAATCATAGAATGGTTTGGGTTGGAAGGGACCTTTAAGATTGTCTACTTCCAATCCCCCTGCCATGGGAAGGGACACCTCCCACTAGACCAGGTTGCTCAAAGCCCCATCCAGCCTGGCCTTGAATGCTTCCAAGGAGGGGGCATCCACATAATCTCTGGGCAACCTGCTACAGCGTCTCGCTGCTCTCATAGTAAAGAATTTCCATCTAATATCTAGTCTAAATCTACCCTATTCTAGTTTAAAACCACTTCCCCTCATCCTGTCACTACCTGGCCCAATAAAAAGTTCTTCCCCAGCTTTCCTGTAGGCCCCTTTCAGATACTGGAAGGCTGCTATAAGGTCTTCTCAGAGCTTTCTCCATTCTGAACAAACCCAGCTCTCTCAGCCTGTCCTCGTAGGGGAGGTTCTCTAACCCTCTGATCATCTTCATGACCCCTCTCTGGAAAGAGGGGTTGAGGTGCACTCAATCTCACTGTCCACTCCAACAACTCAAAGTCATTCTTGCGTTGGGGGGCCCAGAACTGGATACAGTGTTCCAGGTGGGGCCTCACAGGAGCAGAGTAGAGGGGCATTATCATCTCTCTTGACCAGCTCCTTTCGTGCTCCCTTTGATGCAATCCAGGATACGGTTGCCTTTCTGGGCTGCAAGTATACATTGCTGGAGCATGTTGAATCTTTCATCAACACTCACCACCCAGCCCATAATTGTGCTTGGGATTACCCCAGCACAGGTGCAGGACTTTGCACTTGGCCTTGTTGAAGTTCATGACATTTTCATGGACCCAACTCTCAAGTCTGACCAGATCCCTCTGGATGGCATCCCTTCCCTTTAATATGTCAACTGCACCACTCAGCTTGGTGTCATCAGCAAACTTGCTGAGGGTGCACTCAATCTCACTGTCCATGTTGCCTGCAGAGATGTCAAATAGCACCAGTCCCACCACCGGTCCCACTTGCCACCAGACTCAACTTGAACTTTGAGCCATTGACCACAACTCACTGAGTGCAACCATTCAGCCAATTCCTTATCCAGAAGTGGTCCATCCATCAAATAAACTTTTCTCCATTTCAGCAACCAGGATGTCATGTGGGACAGGGTCAAACACTCCTGGGTATGATCAAGACCAGATTGAATGGGGCCCTGGACAACCTGACTGAGCGCCTGATTTAGTGGTTGACAGTCCTGCCTCTGGAGGTTGGAACTAGATGATCTTTAAGGTCATTTCCAACTCAAGCCTTTCCATGACCATTGTATGATGATTCTATTATTATTAAACTGAAGAGCCCAGAACTGGGCACAGTACTCCAGATGAGATCTCACCAGGACACAGGAGGAGGAAAACCACGCTCTGACCACCCTCCTTTTAATGCACCCAGGGTAGCATTGGCCTTCTTGGCCACAAGGGAATATTATTGGCTCTTCGTTTTCAAGTCTAGATTGTTCAGCAACTTTTATAACGTGTTCAACTGTTTTTCTTGATTTAAAAGTCTTAATGCCAGTTAAATTTACAATGTAAAATTTAATGGGCTGGAAATGACTTGTTTTTAATATTATCAGCACCATTTGTTACAGAGATTTTATAATCATTTTGATCACACAATGGTCCCAAGCCAATCTATTTGTGCTTAATTTATGCTTTAACTCTTATCCTAGTACTTCATGGTTGGATTTACAGAGCAGCCCCATGAAGTCATCTGCAGTAAATAGTGCCTGGGGATATTCTGGATGAGTACATTGGTTTACAGCACTGAAAGAATGGAAATGGACAATCTGAATTTTTTTTATAAAGTCTTATGGATATAAAGAAATGTTTCTAGCACCTCTACACTAATGCAGCAGAATTACTAGGTACTTCATAGCTACATAAACTTTATTGTTGATAAAGAAAACGTAGACAGTGAAAGGGAAGATGGCAAAAATTAGAAGTCTTTCAAAAAATTTGATCTCTATTTCCAGTTTCCTGCTCCAGGATACAGAGTTTGCAATGTGTTCCAAATTTCATTAGCATGGTGAAGAGAAAAAATTAATGACACTGAAGAGAGTAAAAATGCCTAAAATATCACTGTCTATGCTGCAGGCCTCTGGCTGGACTGGAAGTCTGATACGAAGAACTGAACCATGCAATATTACTACTGTTGATACAACAGCACTTACAAATCAACCAAATCAGAGTTTGTCTGTGCTAAACACTAAATTATTCCTCTGGTTGTTTTTTTATTCTGTTAGATTCACATCCAGGAAAAATACGTTTACTTAGAGTTGTTTTTGGCAGAAGTTTGGCATTTTTCTATCCATATTAAAAAAAATAGGTAAACATAAATGAAAACCACTTTGAAAAGTTATGACAAAAAAAAAAAGTATTAAAACTAAATTCACTAAAAATGACATGGCAACAATTCTTTTTTTGAGTCAATAAAATTGAAGTGTAAAAGACTACTCTGGTTCTGACCTGAACAGTTTTTTTCTGGGTATAACTTACTTGCAAACATGATGAAATTTTGTTTGAAAAAATTTTGAAATTTTTTGCAGGAAGAGTGAAAGCCATTACTTAGGTCAGCAGTCACACACTTTGCTTGTGACTATGCACTGGAAATACGTTATATTTACGGGGATTTATAAAATAGTGCTAGAGACTCATTAGAATCTGGTTATCTGAAGAACACTGCTTAGTTTTTGATGAAGTGCTTTGATGCATGAGCATCTTCAGCAAAGGACAAAGCTCTATTATGACAGAAGGAAATGAAGGTAGAAATATATGGGCAGACATAAAAGAAGGTGGCTGAAGCATGTCTCTTTAATGGACTTTCGTAATCCCCATCTTAGCAGAGAAAAACAGCATTCACTTCACAATCACAACTTAAGTGTCAGGGAGTTATCTCTAGATCTGTTTGTGTCTGTGACAGGGACAGCAGGACCACAGGCTCACCAGCCCAAAAAGAAGGGGAAAGGAGAGAGGGGGTGTTGGTGGTTTACAGGCAGGTTCAGCCCAGTACTGTGAGTAATAGGGCTGGGGACCCCCTGGGAAAGGGGAAGGGGATAGGGGGAAGGGTGGGGAAATGGGAGATGGGCCTGAAAACACAACAGCGGAAAGAATCTGAGGAGGAAAGTTAATTTATTAAATATGATATTGGAATGCAAGATAACACACTGTAATACAAGATATAATTGGAATTGAGGCTAATAAATTAAATAAAATGAGAAACAGTGTGTCCAAAACCAAAGGTCTTTGGAGGTGAAGCAGCTAGGAAGCACACCCACACAGTGCCAGGCAGCAAGAGAGTCCCGTGACTTGCAGGTCTGACCTTCCTCTCTGAACGCGAAGTCCCCTGGGTTCTTCTTCTCTTATGAGGACCACATATCCAGAAAGTTGTCAGCCCACAGAACTCGAGTGTTAACTCTTTAATTCCCTGAGCTTCACATGATGCTCTGATGTGTAATATCGATAGCAAAAGTCATAAAACCGTGGCATTCCATCCCTTATTCCACATCAGTATATCATGCTTCAGCATAGTATTTAACAGCCCATTGTATTGTTCAAGTTTACCAGAAGCTGGCACACGATAAAGGATACGATAAATCCACTCAGTGCCATGATCTTTGCCCCAAGAATTTACAAGGGAATTTTTGAAATGAGACCCATTATCTGACTCAGTTCTTTCTGGAGTGCCACGTTTCCATAGGACTTGCTTCTCGAGACCTAATATGGTGTTTTGGGCAGTAGCATGGAGTGCAAGATATGTTTCAAGCCACCCATTGGTTGCCTCCACCATGATGAGCACATAACGCTTACCATCGTGAGATTGTGACAAGTGTCATGATCAAGGTGACATAGTCAACCTGCCACGCCTCCCCATATTTATACTTTTGCTATCAATCTTTCCCCCAGGAGGTTTCATCCTCCTGGCTTGTTTGATTGTGGCGCATGTGTCACAGTCATGAATAACCTGTGCAATAGCATCCATAGTTCAGTCCACCCCTTGGTCTCTAGCCCACTTATATGTTGCATCTCTTCCTTGATGTCCAGAGGTCTCACCTGCCCACTGAACTAAAAATAACTCACCCTTGTTTTGCCAGACCGAGCCTATTTGAGCCACTTCAGTTCTGGCAGCTTGACCTATCTGTTGGTTATTTTGTTGCTCCTCATTAGCCCGATTCTTGGGCTCATGAGCATCCACCTGGCACACCTTTACATCCATATTCTTTATTCAGGCAGCAGTGTCTTTCCACAGTTCAGCAGCCCAAATAATTTCACCCCTCTGTTGCTAGTTGTTTTGTTTTCTCTGCTGTAACCACCCCATAAGGCATTTGCCACCATCCATGAGTCAGTGTAAAGATAGAGCATTGGCCACTTCTCCCGTTCAGCAACACCTAAGGCCAGCTGGACAGCCTTTACCTCTGCAAATTGGCTTGATTCTCCTTTTCCTTCAGTGGCCTCTGCAACTTGTCGTGTGGGGCTCCACACAGCAGCTTTCTATCTGTGATTCTTCTCCACAATACGACACAATCCATCAGGGTAAATTAAATTCTCTGGTAACCACAGGTGTTCAAGAGTGAAATCCCACGATACTGGGGGTCCCCAAGCTTCTAATATTATTCCTAAACTTTTCCATATTCCCTGCAACCATTCTGTGGTTGTGGGGAAGGCTTCTTCCAGATAATGTAAATGAAGAGGAATACATTCAGGTGAATTGATAACATTAAGCCAGAATTCCAAAACTGCATATGGAACAGAGAGGAGAACTTGGATACTGGTATAAACATGGAATTGTTTGTAAAATTATTTGCTCCCTCGGGATGTAACTGTCAATGTTCAAATTATACAACATTGTATATGGGTACCAGGCATGAGTCTTCATCAGTGCCCTTACTTGGATATTTACATATACAGCTCCAAAACAGAACATGGAGAACTTAATAAGAAACCATACGTCCCAAAAAACATAATGGCCTTTAACCCTTTATACAGCACTCCTAAAATAAAGAACAGATCCATGGCTGGCAGTTGCTAGAGGAGAAAAAAAAAAAAGAAAAGAAAAAACTGGGAAGAGTGTCCAGAGTATGGCAGACTGCCCAGACTAAAATCTAACCTACGAAGGTCAAAGCTAGCTACAGCACTCTGCAAATCTCTGACTTTAAGAAACCGTTTTTGTTGTGTTTTTTTTTTTTTTTCCTGCTAATATTAAAAGGTTGAGATTTGGTTCAGATTGCCTGTATTCTCCACCAATAACTGTCATGGAGTTATCCCTAGATCTATCTGTGTCCATGACAAGGGGGGAAAAAAATCATAAAACCATGACATCATGTCATCACTTTTTGGCAGTATGCACATTTTGAGCAATTATTGTCAAGAATGAAGTACAGGAAGAGTAAAATTTCATCAAAAATCTCTGACAAACACCTTGAGACCTCACAATAATTGCAACCACTGCCATCAAACCAGATTGGAGTGTTAGTTTCACAAAAACAAGGTCAAATATCCCACTAGTTTTATGTTCTTGTTCCTCTTTCTCTTTTATTTTTCAATGTTTTAAAAAATATATTTAAAATGTTATGTTATTAATACAGTAATGATATTGTTTATTTTGTGAGGGATGCTCCAAAACTAATGCCTCCTGTGGATATCGGTGTTATGGCAGTAGAAGTTAAGCCTTCCCACCAATATTCCATTACATTTTGTTGCTGTGTGGCAGATGGCAGCAGAGGGGCAGTCTGACAAAATTATGTCTGCCATGGAGGTGTGTATGAAGCAAAGGTGTGAGAATTCCTCCGGGTGGAAAAAATTGCACCCATTGACATTTATCAACATTTTCTTAATTGTATTGAGATTAAATAGTGAATGTGAGTACAGTAGGGTGGTGGGTGGTGTGTTTCAGCAGTGGTGACAGTTGGTCACATTGTTATGAGTGCAGCATGCAGACTCTTGATCTTTTCTGGTGAAAATACACAGCTAACGGTGGTGACGTACGTTGAAAAAATATTGTTTTGTAGCTAAGAATTTGCTCTATCAAATAGTGCTCTTTGTATCAGTTGTTTCCATGGAAATAATTTTAATTTAATTTTTAATTTATAAATTAATTTTGATTTTAATTAATTAATTATTATTATTATTATTAAATTATAAATTTTAATTTAACTTTTAATTAGGAGGATTACTTTTGGAATCACCTACATATATGTAGCCCAATAAAGTTTCTATTCACAAAATGGGGCCCAGACAAGCCAAAAGTTTGGACACCCATGGCTTACAGCTTTCTTTGCAGTAATGAACAGTTAAATTTCATTGACAACAGTTACAGCTGTGAAATACGTGTTGCACAGCCTCCAGTTCAGCCCCGTGTCAGCACTCATGTAATCCAGGAGTACTTAAGCTGACCCCTAGAGTAAAATATAGCTGTTAAACTGAATGGCATGCCTTATGACTGTTTCAAGGTTATTTGAGATTTCTGCCATCAAATGACAGTTTTAAATCTATCAGAATGATCAGGTTACTTATAGTGCCTTGGGAACACAACTTGACTCCATATTCTATGTAGCCACACAGTGAGATAGACTATGATATTCTGAGGTTTGGAGAACTTTCATGTGGGAACAGGTAAGCATAGAGCTTTTCCAGAACCAGATTCAGCAAAGTTCTGGAAAGGATCATCAACAAAATCTACAACAGTTTCACCTATCTTCTTATCTGTACTGTGCTCAGATACTCAGAATAAAGACAGCAGACTTATTCCTGAGTTAGTCTATATCACAACATAGCTTGTAAAATCAACATCTTGCTTCATATGTTTCGAGATAACGCTTTTGCTTTGAATTGTGTGAAGGATATGATGATTCCAAGTACTAAAAGAGGATAAAAGAATATTTCCTTTTAAGTAAAGATAGTGTATTGATTTTCTAGAAGTTATATGAATAATAGGCACCAATCTGTGGCAATTTTTGATATATCAGAAGACATTAAGTGATGAAGGATTTTTTTTTAACGAGTGGTGACATTTTTGAGCATTGCTTCCAACTATTCTTCAATTACAGTATTGATTTGCTATATTTACAGTATTTATCCACCTTTCTTTACTCCCTTCTGAATGTTCACAAAGGTGTCTTCTTAAGAAAGATCACAAAGAGTTTGTATTTTCCATTAACGATATTGTTCCAGATAGCAAAGCATATCCAGTATTACAATATCAGAGAATGAATGATTGCTGTAGGAAGCTAGTCTAGTGATTCCCAATAGGTCAAGAAGACTATACTCTACAAATTATAGGAAACTGTGCAGTGATTCCCATAGGGGCCTGTCAAAATCAGCCTCCACTATGAGAATGACAACCTTGAATTATGTTTTCAATGTTAAGAGATAGGCAGAATTCATCATAATGCAAAATAATAGCAATGTTTTTTCTAGTTAAAGTATTAACTCTGGTAAAGGTAATTTTATTTTCTCTCCAGAGTATTTTAAAATGAGATTTTGTCTCAGGTAGCTTTGAAAACTTTGTGGAGCAGCACCTCCTGGGAGCTATAGGTCAGGTGACTTATGCCTTGTTTCCCACCATAAGTCAAGTCCCCCAGTTAATTTTTTTCCCATAAGGCATCCTGATTTGGCAACTCTCATGGAGGACTGTGGTTGAAGAAGGTTGTATTATACTGTTTTGTCCAGTGATATTTCAAATATTTCATGTTGGGAAATCATCTTCATTCCTTTGCGAAGTTATTCCAGATCCACTGGAATTTGCTGGTCAGAACTTCTGCATTTCCTTTTCATTGACAGTGTTTGCTAATGGTGCCTCCTAAATCTCTTGTCCTTGTATCTCCTTCTGTGGAATGTTATCTACTGCAAGACCTCTATGTGATTAAAGTGCGGTTCTTCTGATCTGCGGCATTGGTATGGAACATAGACATACATATTCTTTGTGACCTGAAGGAAATCTTTCCTTAACTGTATGAATCCAGGCATCCAGGATTCATAGCAAAGTGTGATCTCCATTATCCTTTTCATTATCATTGGAAAACAGTGTGGCTTTTAACTTAAATACTGGGAAAGCTTGTAAGTAATGCAGCAGTAGTAATGTGTGCATATTAGTACTGCTCAGGTCAACAGTAGTATTTTTCATACAAGTGTCAGCAGATTCAGTTTGACTTTCCCTTTGTTCTTCTTTTTTGTTGTTTCTTTCTTTCTTTCTTTTATTCTAATTTTCAAGATGTGGGAGCATTTTTTGAAGAAGGAATGTGGCTTCGTTACAACTTCCATTCCCCAGGGACTAGCATGAAGGATTTAGTTAGCCGAACACTGTTGAGTTCTACAGATCCTGAGATTATAGCGACCAGCAATAACTTGAATAAAGAAGAACTCAGCTTCAGCTTCAGTACCACCAAGTCCCCTTGTGTCCTTTTGTATATCAGTTCCTATACCCAGGACTTCATGGCAGTGCTTGTCAAGCCATCCGGTAAGCATCTGCTTTGGACTCTTTCCCCTGAAGGAACAATTGATAATAACATCAGTTTGACATTCAGCTGAACTCTGAACTAATGAGAAATTATTTTCACCCTTGTCATTTGAAAGTAAAATATACAAGACCTGAATACTGATTCTGCTTTACTAGATTTAGTCTGATGTAACTCTTCAATTTTGAGGGGTTTCACTAGCCGAAGCTTACAACAGTTCTCAAAACAAACAGACAAAAACAATAAATCATTTCTTAAAATAAATTGTTATAACAGCTAGATCCATGCCTTAAAATAGCATTATGAAGGTGATAATTAGGCAACCACATGTAGGCACTGAAATAAATGGTTCGTAATCAATGGCAACATCCCCTGTAGTGAATGGTAAGCGTTGTTACCATACAACAGTGAATCAGGAAACTATAAGACTCAAGTTGGAGTGTTAGACATTTAATAGCAGCGTTGGATTCGTGGGGGTAATCCTTCTATCTTGCACACCTTGTACAAAAGGTCTTCAGCATATATACGTAACTTGTGTTACATATGCAGAAGTTTTCCAAGAGTTATATTACGTATGCAGAAGTTACTCAGAATTATATTACATATGCAAATTTCCCAGAAGTATGTTACATATTCAGTGACCAATCCCAAGGAGGATCTCCTATTTCCTCAGTAAAAAGATTCAGCAGAGCTTCCTTATCTCCTTGCTTCAGAGACAGCTTTTTCTGCTACCTAAATGAACTGCAGGGCAGGGGTATCCATCAACAAACACTAGCAAGCTTAATAATATTATTACAGCTTGTATCAGTGTAATGCACTATTTTTCTGAAAATCCAACTGTGCATGAGGTGACTAAATGTGAATGTGGCATAAAATACGCTATAAAAAGTTTGATAGTTATGGATATTGGAGATAGACCATTTTCTGGTGGAATATAAAAGATAATATATCTCAATTCCAAATGGTGCATTTCTTACCCCTGAAAATTATGTAGTTTTAAAGTTCTTGAGCTACTTTCCGATCCCGGAACATTTCAGGTTTCTATCAATAATGAGGTCTACATTTCCATTTTCAAAAATCCTTCCTTGTAATGGCATGTTAAAATCTGCTATGAAGAGTAGACACTTCTTTAGAAAATAAAAAAACTAGCAGCATATCGGTTTAGTACTTTTGATTACTCTTTTCTAACAATATAACCTGAAGTTTTCATTCTACCACATACCATTAAATTTCCATAAAATTCAGATGGTCATGTGTCACCCACAGCAAAACATGAGAGCAAGGAAATCGCCTGTGTTGATTGGATGCCGGTGTAAATTTGTTGCAATTTCACTTTATTCAAGGCACATAATTTCATTCCTTAAAGAAACTCATACTTTATATAACTTCAAGTAATTTTGCTACGGCAGGGATAATAATCTCAACAACAACGTGCTACTTGATGTGCTCAAATTTGAAATAGTTACCTGCATAGTTCAAGGCATAGCTGTGATTTGTTCAGTTTGCAATCCAGACAATGTACAAACATTGGTTTTGAGGTGCTGATCATTGTCATGCTTCTGGGTTGTGAAATGAAAGCTGTTTTCAGTCCAATAGCTGAACAATCTGAAATACTAGCCTTTCTTAAAATCCTCCTGCAGCAGATACCAGCTATGAGAACAGTTTAAATGTTAAGTGGCAATAGTTGTATGAGGAAATAAAGAGGGGAAAATAGCTGGTGAATAAATATCAGCATACTTGAGGGTACTTTTCACGTTCCTCTCATTAGGGAATCTGCAAATTCGGTACAGCCTAGGAGGTACCAAGGAGCCATATAACATTGACGTTGACCACAGAAACATGGCGAACGGACAGCCCCACACTGTTAACATCACGCGGGATGAACGGGACATCGTTCTGCAGGTAAGCAGACAATAAACACGTTTCGGCTCCATCCAGTATTGCTTGTGGCTTGTAACATTTTGTAATCTGAGGACATCCTTTCCCTTGATGATATCGGTGCAATTTGGGAAATAATAATGCAGTAGATGGTATTCTGCTTGGGGATCTCAGTCCTAGGACTTAACGAAAGCTATTCTCTCTATTGCTTTGAGTCATAATTGTTCAAATCCTTGCTCTAGTGTGATGACAGCTGGGATAATACATATGTCATTGTAGATGCTCAAGGACATCAGAAACATCTGAGTGGGAAATAGCCTGAGACTTAGGATAAACCTGCACTATTCTGGAACAGTAGCTGAAAACCACGAGGGATAACCTACAGCATCTTTAATGGCAGTAGATGCTGACATACAAATAAATATCATGCCTTAAGACCTGCGTCTACAAATAAGAATGTCTTAAAATTTAAGTTCACCCTGCTGTTCAGTGAAACAGAAGAGCTATTCACACAAGGAAAGATGAGCAGATTATTCAGTTTATGTGGCAGGAGTCTGAGATGGGAGAGGATTATTGATGGCACATGTTCTTCTGGCCTACTTAGTTTTCACTATCACACCGACAAGAACTTTTTCTCTTTATGTCTTAGTTCACAAATCTTAGAGATAATATCACAGTATTTAAATAACTGAGGAGAGCTCTGCAAGAGGAAATCAATATTTCTAGACAGCATTTTCTATGTAGTCATTACAGAACTCTGTTTTCATTCCCTGGATGTCCCATTTACAAATACGGAGACTGCAGCAGGGTATGAGAACAGTTTTATTGGCAGGAGAATCAGATAGATTGGATGGATTAATATGGATTTGATAGCTCATAAGAATGAAATAAAAAAACAATAACAAATGAAATACAAATAGGGGAAGTCTCCTTGGGAACCAAGCCAAAAGTGTAGCTGTCACAGTATAATCTACCTACAGATTAAAACAGATCCCTGAAAGTTATTTTTTCCAGCCACTGAAATGAAACTTTTTCAGTGGATTACAATGTCATTTGACTGAAGCTGTCAACTAAAATTTACACTAACAAAATGACATATATAATGAAAAATATATTGGTGATATTTATAACAGCTTCTCAGATTTTAGGAGGCCAGGGGCTGTACTTTTGTGTATGCATCTTTCTTGCATGCGGAAGCATTTCGAAGTTATTCTTCTCTCTCTCACTGCTAAATGGAAGAGCAATAAGGTTTCTGTTATTAAAGGCTTAAATTTGGGAGATATATGGCATGTATACTATGGAATCATATGTGGCTGATTCAGATGGTTGCAAGACTAAACAAATTATTGATGGCTGATGGTTGGACCAGATGATCGTAGAGGTCTTTTTCAGCTTTGAAACTGATGATCATAAAATCAATGATTTTATGATTTGCTGAAGAAATCAGATGAAATCAGTCGGAAAATACATATTCCGTTAAGTATACTGGTCTTGCATCATCCCACCTACATTTAAATTCTAATGATTTTTCTTCTCAGTTCATTATGAGGCAGGAAAGCACCTAGGGCTTTCAAGAGCAAGAAATGTTTTATTTAGTTTCTCACATTCTCTGCTAAATATCTCTCAATCAGTCTGCTTAGCACACAGCTGTTCTATATGATTGGGAAGAAGATCCATTTGAATCTTATTAAACTAGGCTCAATTTGATGCACATACAAGAATAGGGAAAGTAGGGAACCCATATAAAAATAATCCAGAAATCACACTCTTGTTGTATCCTGGAAAATCTTTCTATCCAATTCTGTTTGTTTTCCATAAGATGTTAATTTTGTTACTTATCTGATTACATAAATGAGATAGAAACAAAGATGGATCTGTTAAGTAGACTGTTCACTTGAAAATGAGTACCACTATCAAATACAAAATATATATGGTAGCAGTATAATTTTTCTCAGCATCCAGAGGACAATTATGAAGTGTGGCTTTTCTCTCACAGATCTAAGCAATGAACATTTAAGTAGACTTCTATTTCCTGCTAAATTCTTCTCCAAACTGAAGAGCAGCTGCTTTTCTTACATTAAAAGAAGACAGCTTGCTTGCCTGGTGCTGTTACTCACACTTCCACGTTGTATAAAAATGTCACAAGAATGATTTATTTCTCGTCAAATCATCAAACCAAGAGCACTCAGTATTTTTGAAGTCGCAATAGCAAGTTCATGCTTAAAATATGTCTTTCTAACTTGCTGTAATAACCTCGTAGTGACAGAGAGATTTAAAAAATCTGCAGTGAGGCAATAAATTGCTACGATATGAACTGTGTGAACCAGCGTTTTTTCACAATTCTCATTGTAAAAAACTTGTTATTAAACAATACAAGGCTTCATCCAGCACTGGAAGCCAGGAGATAGTATTATTATGATTGTTATTTAAAGTCAGAGTTACTCTCTGGTCAGTCGGACTTTGAGTTTGTCATCTGACATCTAGGAAGAAAATTCTCTAACTCCAATCTGATGTTAGAATGTGGCATTCCTTTATTTCTCACTATGCACACCAAGCAACTCAATAAATCAAGCGTGCGTGCGCTCTTACAGTTCAGGTTCTACATTTAAACAGTTAAGACATACATATGCAATACATTGGTATACATATTCATTTTTTGTCAAAGAACTCATGAATATTTGCTAATGTCCTTCTGAACATGTGAGGTTCATCTCAGGTGGTTATACAACCACCCACTTCCTCCTTTTTATTTCTCCTTCAGCTTCATCACAGTGACTTTTGGCCAATCTTTAGCTGTTTCTTCACAGTTTGTCCACTTTCCATTGCTTGTTATGCGACTTTCTTTCTTGGTGCACTATAACTCAAAACAATTTATATGGAACTCAAGAAAAAAGCCCTTGCACCTGGTGGATGTAAGGATAAAAGTCTTATTGCAAGTTCAGTGCTTCTGTGAAGCAGGATAATTGAGAAAAACAAGTCTGTTCACATAACAAGTAAAGCTAAACTGGAAAGTTTTAGAACTCGCATACATTGATTCCTTTTACTAAATTAATGTGTTGCTCCTTAAATACATTGGTCCTTATTGCTAAGCCAACCTATATCAAGTTGTGCTTCAAAATAAATGCATTCACAATATCGTATATCCATAACATAAGCACAAGAACAAATATTTCTATTGTGAATTATTTTCATTAGACTTATATCCCTATTCCTAATGTGCCAAAACAGTCAAGATGAAAGGCGGCAGCAAGCACTTCTCAAATGGGTTTTCCATTTCAATTTTCTAATTCAGTGACTGCAGACAAATCAATATTTAGTTATACATTAAATAACAAGCTCTTGTTTGTGATGCCAGAGGTTACTCAAGGATAAGATTAAATATATGTGGTTGATTTAGGTGTCAGGAAAGAAAAATGACATAAATTCCAAGACAAATATCTGCATATTCTCTGTTGTTGAAATGAAGGGTACAAAACTGAGATTGGCTAGCAATTCCTGTCACCTCAACTATAATACCAAATACTTATAACCACAAAACCTCATTAATTTACCTATGAACAAGAAAACGCCCAGACTGACAGATGTAGAATGCATTATCCCAGTAAACGACATTTCAAGAGCTGAGCTTTAGTTTTTGGAAGGCAAGCTTTATTTGGTTTGTCTTCATTAGAAGGCTTCATGGTTCTACAGAGATCTCCTGAGCTGTGCCTCCCCTAGTCATCACGGGTCGTTTCCGCAATGGAATCATCCAAGACTCAGAGGAATAACATAAATCAATTTATTGAGAGCTTTCTAACAACAACTAGTACTCTACTTGGAGGTAGAACTGGCTAATTTGCTATTAACTATTAGTAAGTATTGCAGATAAGAGTATTTTAGCACAAGAGTTATATATATGCTAAAAGTTCTAAGATAATACCTAAGCAGTGGATACTACAAAGAGTGAATAAATAAAAGAGGATAAGAAAAAAGATAGAAAACGGGGAGAAACAGACAGACAGACAGATATGCAAACACAACACAGTGAAGTGTTTCACCTCTCCTCAATCCAGTGATGCCTTACTGTCAGAGGGTACTTTGGTAGTGACAGGTCATGCAAAGATGTGACGGTCAGTTGATGATAATGACAAATGTACACATTCTCTTACTTACAGTCCAGAGTGGTCAAGACTGCTCCTTGGAGTCAGAGCTTCCAGCTTCAGGGATCTTCTATTTCCATCTTCCAGGCCTTACAAATTTAAATCAGCAGAGACGAGGAAGTAGGGAGACACCAGATTGTACCTTGCCTTCACAGGATACAGTGGTATCATCTCCCTGCTTTCCTGTATTAAGCTGAAAATATTTGCTCCCAGACCAAGTCTTCTGCCAGAAAACACTCCTGAGTCTTCCCATTCAAGAGCAAACAGCTTTTGGCTCTGTCCAAAGAAATGCTTCTGAATGTAAAACAGTCCACGAAGTGTTGCTGATAGTTTCACATATATTTGAGACAATGCATTCCTTACCAGTCTCAGACAACAAGTTCTGATCCAAAGCTCCCTGTCTACAAAAGAACTTCCATTGACTTCAGTAGGTTTCAAAGCCTACTTATTGTTCCCTTGAACAAAAACCATACCAGTATGTTATAAAACAAACAAAAAAAAGTATGATGTGCTTTACTTTTTAATGGAATAAAGTTGATGCTCAACACAATCAGATTGAGCCTCTTTATTTCCATACTAAAATACTCTTACACTTTTAAACAGATCTCCAATTCTTCATGTATTCTTTAAAGCCATTTCTTGTTATGAGTCATATCTCCTAATGTCCTCTTTGCTCCAGAAAAATATTAGACCTGAGCAATTTTCACATGTTCAACTTTCCCAAGCCCAGCCATATACTTCCAGGACTGGCAGCAGCCTGCACACATATGCTCAGAAGACCTTATCCAAGAACACCTGACAGTTCCCACTTTCATGCTAGAACAATCTGGAGAACTGTAGTAGAGAGAATTTACACAACAACAAAAGATGATCAAAATACAGCAT